CAGAACAGTTTCTGTGGTTTGTAAACATGTCCGCAGATCCCAGAAGGTTGATGACTGCTGGAGTATGACATATTAATTTCCCTTCAGGATAATTCTTTAATTTATAAAGCTGATAAATAAGGGAAGAGCGGGAGCTGTGTTGAATTCTAAAGGCCGATTTTGGGAAGGAGATTTACAACTGGACAGAAAAGCAATATTGTAAATGAACAGATGGAGATCCTACATGATTGATCATGTTCATAAGTAAAGTTTCTGTCAAAAAGGTATTATATTGGATGTATATATATTTAAGACTTGGCAGGCTTGGCTTGCAGGTTTTTGGTTTATTGTTATTTTTTAAAAATCTGGCAACTGGGTTCGGCAGCTTTAGGCACTGGCCCTGCTCCAGACTGGATGGTGGCTCGCCCTCTGCCTCCAGTTTTGTGCCTTGCAGAAGATGTTGGGGTGCCATGACCCCTGAGGGCCCTGGATCCCTCTGTTCTGTCTCGCTGCCACTGACACAGTCTGCTCCTCTTCGGGAGCAATCAGGTCTTCCTCTTGACAGGATTCCTCCCGCGGGAGCATGACATCTACAATATATTCAGAGGTGCCTCAGTCAGTGGCAGTTTAGGGAAGTTTAGTCAGCCATCTTGATTCAAAATGGCATCCAATGGTATCCCAACAAACATGGTTGAAGACCTGCTCCTCTGTTGCAGAAACCATTTTGCCAAATTTGGTGACTATATCTCAAGAGGTGTCCAAATGGATAGAGAACAGATGGACGAAAAACTTTCCTATATATATAGATATAGATAGATATAGATAGATATGTAGAATATATGATACTATATTTATAATGATATAATATAATTAAAGAAGGAAGGTGTAAGCTGTCAAAGAGGTTTATTAGTCTATTATATCTAACAGCCAAATAAGAAATAAAATTACACAGGAATATTTGCAATTCCTACAAGATACATAACGATACTGGATGACTTAGTGTGAAATCACTGCTACAAGGTCCACAAGTGTGATTTCCAGAATAATAAAATAGTACCTCACCAACTTGCACACTGAAAGAAATAAAATTATCTAGGGATGTTATCTATATTATTAAAAGATAATGGCTATATTAACAGTATGCAACCTATGTTGCTGTTGAAAAATGTGGTCCTGTAAGATTTTGCATGTTGGTGTATAGTGGAAACAGTTACTAATCTGCATATATTGTCTTTTGCAGTTATCAGTGGCAGGGTGTCTTCCAACAGAAAATTCTTTGCAAAATAATGTTTTATTTTTAATTATTCCCATTGTACTAATACAGATTATTGTATATGCCTTCAGGGGCCTGAATTATGGCTTTCTTGAGACCGTAATATTTAATTTCTTTTCTGCCATGTATTAAAACCCATTGTTAACACTGCATGAATATTTCTAGTGCTTAATGTATTAGAAAATCCTAAGTGAAAGGAGATTAGGTTTTGTTTTTTTTGTTTTTTGTATTAACAAAACCATAAAACAGCTTCTGAGATTAAAGGGGAAAGGAAAATAATTCAGATAAGAGGCAAAGGTTTACGTTAACCTTAGAGAACATTCCAACACTTCCTTGTTTTAAAATTATTCAAAAGACATCTCTCTCAAATTTTGCGCAAACCCATGTCACTTGTGGAAATTAATTTGTCTTTTTTTATGCGCTAGACAAAGGGAAAAGTGGGGACATAAGTTTGCTTTGTTTCCCTGCCCATTCTGTGCAGCTGAAGAAACACCAAATGACCTTTAAATTTTGTTAAAATGTTATTAAGCCCTTTGTTTCCTGATTTGGCTGCAATACCAAGCACTCTCTTCATATAATTCAACCTCCCTAATGGCTATGGATTGAGTTAAGGTCTTCTAAATGCTGCTCATATTGTGTGCCAGTGTTTTGCTATCCTTAGCAGAAAACGATTGTCCCAAATTCGCCAAGCAAGACGCCTTTATGCACATTGTGCCTCCAAGAACAGCATCCTATCTCCTGAAATCCTCCTGCCTTTCATTTAATTCTGTTTTGGTTCATATGTAAATGCATTCCTCTCCATTATCTCTTGTTTCGATTAATCAGTCCAGGAGGCTAAAAATAAATTACCAGGATAAATTCGGTCTAGTGGTCACCTGGTCAGTTGTTTGCCCGTTTAGAAGAAGAAGAGTTTGGATTTGATATCCCGCTTTATCACTACCCAAAGGAGTCTCAAAGCGGCTAACATTCTCCTTTCCCTTCCTCCCCCACAACAAACACTCTGTGAGGTGAGTGGGGCTGAGAGACTTCAGAGAAGCTCTGCATGTGGAGCTGCATGTGGAGGAGCAGAGATGCGAACCCGGTTCACCAGATTACGAGTCTACCACTCTTAACCACTACACCACACTGGTTTAGCAACTCTACTGCCTCTCCATGTGTTCCTAATTGCCCTATCTCCATTGTTGTATTTTTTAAAAAATATATAATTTTTATTAGTTTTTTTTAAAACATATCATTTTCAACAGTAATTAAACATACTTTTACATCTTATTCAAATTTTTGACTTCCATCAATCCTGTCTGAAAATTTTCCAATCTAATCTCTCAGTATGCATTTCTTATCTTCCCTATTACATTTCAAACTCATAACCAATATCTCTATCTTTTTCTACTTTGAAACACTTTGTATATTTCTCCTTACAAAACTTCTTGTAGTCCTACTAGCGTAATTTGTTGATTACAGTTGCTCTTCAAATAATTCATATACTTCTTCCAATGTTCTGTAAATCTCTGGTCCCGCAGGTTTCGAATCCTTCCTGTCTTTTTGTCCAATTCTGCATAGTCCATTAATTTCGTCTGCCATTTTTCTTTCATCGGAATTTCTACTTGTTTCCATTCCTGGGCTAACAATACTCTTGCCGCAGTTGTTGCATATAAAAACAATTTAACATCTTGCCTATTAATGTCCTGACCTATAATACCAAGTAAAAATGCTTCTGGTTTTTTATAAAATGTACAGTGGTACCTCAGGTTACATACGCTTCAGGTTACATACGCTTCAGGTTACAGACTCCGCTAACCCAGAAATAGTGCTTCAGGTTAAGAACTTTGCTTCAGGATGAGAACAGAAATCGTGCTCCGGCGGCGCGGCAGCAGCAGGAGGTCCCATTAGCTAAAGTGGTGCTTCAGGTTAAGAACAGTTTCAGGTTAAGAACGGAGCTCTGGAACGAATTAAGTTCTTAACCTGAGGTACCACTGTATATTTCAACATCTTTTTCATCTCATTATATATCATTTCCCAGTAGTTCTTTACTTTTTTACTATCTCCAGTGTTGTCTTAACACTCACACCTCTCAGTAGGGCTTTTCTTCAGTGTCAGCATGCCAGCAATGGTACGCAGGTGCTTCAGACCATCATTTAGCGTTCGAAAAGTCCCAGCATTAGAGAGGCCTCATGTGCCAATCTTGTGGTCTCCCAGCTGTCGCTGTGCTTTGGAATATTACATCAGGTTCATCATTTTAAAAGAAAACAAAGAAGTGGAACTTCAATCATCTGTTAATAATATATCAGCACCCTGTAAAAGGCGCAGAAAAAATACTATAAAACGCTTCTGCTTAGCTATCACTGATGTAATATGTTTATAGGATAACTTTTGGTATTTTTTTCTCCAGCGTGGATGGTTGAGGTTGCACAAAAAACACGAGAGCAGTACTTTAATGCAAAAACATTTTGGAACACCTGCATGGCATAAATCACTCCTTCAGCCTCCGAATTATAAATATTAGCTTATATGCAAAGTTTTCTTGCTTCTTGGTTGAGATTTAATCAAGATGTTCTGGCTCTGGTGAAAAATAGTCTTTTCCGTTAAGTCATCTTTATTTCTCGTAATGAAGATGTATCCGTAGTGTTGTTAGTCCAGCCAAAAGCTATTTGCAGTCTTGCTGTCTGTTTATACAGTTGAACACATGGTTCCTCACCTAAATAATTTACTTGTAAAATGTATTTCCATGCATATGTTGCTAGTAAAGTAGGAATATTCAAGCACTGCCAAAGCAGCCTTCTCTAGAAGTTTAATTAAAGTGTTGTTTGAATTTCACCAAGTTAAGGCCAGTTCACATGTGAATGTACTTCACTTGATGACTCTTAGTACAAACTGTTCCCCACTGAAAAGCATTGGGATGGATCCAGACTTCACCATCTGCAGATGGAAGGGGGTTTTTCCCCTGTCCACAGAAGACTTTTGACCTAGCAGAAGAATCTCACTGCCAGATCAAGAGGAAGTATCATTTGATAATTCCCTCTCCCCCTGCATTTCCCAGTGCCACCTCCCCCACTGTCCCCACAGTATGAATTCATATAATCATAGAATTTGTAGAATTAGAAGATACTTTGAGGGTTATCTTATCCAACCCCATGCATTGCAGGAATCTCAACTAAAGCATCCATGACAGATGGCCATTCGACCTCTGCTTAAAAACCTCCATGGAATAAGAGTTCACCAACTCTTGTGGAAGTCCATTCCACTCTTACCGTTAGAAAGTTCTTCCTGGTGTTTAGTTGGAATCTCATTGTGATTTGAATCCATTGGTTCTGGTCCTAGCCTCCAAAGCAAGAGAAAACAAGCTTGCTCCATTTTCCACATGACAACCCTTTAGATATTTGAAGATTTTATCTCCACTCAGGCCAAACATACCCAGCTCCCACAACCGTTCCTCATAAGGCTTGGTTTCCAGAACATTGATCCATCTTAGTCCCTCCCTCAGAAGATGGTGGACTATCCTTCATTGGAGGTTAATGAAGCAGAGGTTTTTAAGCAGAGGTTGGATGACCATCTGTCACAGAATCCTAGGGTCGGAAGGGACCACAAGGGTCATCTAGACTAGTGTTTCCAAACTTGGGTCTCCATCTGTTTTTGGACTATAACTTCCGTTGTCCCTAGCTGGCAAGACCAGTGGTCAGGACAGTGGGAATTGTTGTCCGAAAACAGCTGGAGACCCAAGTTTGGGAAACACTGCAATATAGGAATCTCTCACTCAATGTGAGACTCGAACCCACAATCCTGAGATCAAGCATCTTATGCTCTACCAACTGAGCTAATGCCATCAATGCTTTAGCTGAGAGTCCGGCATAACAGGGAGTTGGACTAGATGACTTTCAGGGCCCCTTCCAACTCTACATTTCTATGTTTCTAGCTGATTTAAGGTGTCTTAATGTGCATGCACACAACACTAATGCACACTGAAATCATATAAACAATAACTGGAAAGTTGCAAAATATATTTTAAGAATCTGAACAAAATCCCATCTTTCTGAAAGTAAGAAGTGGTGAGTGTTTGTCATGGGTCATGTGACTTTAAAAGGTAAAGGGGCCCCTGACCATTAGGTCCAGTCGTGACCGACTCTGGGGTTGCGGCGCTCATCTCGCTTTACTGGCCGAGGGAGCCGGCGTACAGCTTCTGGGTCATGTGGCCAGCATGTCTAAGCCGCTTCTGGCGAACCAGAGTCTCTTGGCTCAGCCATAGCTGCAGGCATCTGTAAATGATGCCATTTGGGGGTTCTCTAGCAGAGCATGCGCACATCCTGATCAGGAAAAACAACTGTACACAATGTCTTAAACATACGATCTCTACTTTGATTAAAATGAAGTTACCAGTTCTTCCTTTATAGGCTTGAAACCTTAAATTTGTCTTACATTTTGTTAATTTGCAACCAAGAATTGAACAAGAACATTTTGCTTCAAGCTGTTGTCATGGTTGTACCTTCCTCATTGTATCTTCCTTCTTTCGTTTTCTTGTTTTTTTTAACTGTTATATTTGGGAGTCCCTTTAAACTGAATACATTTGGGCAAAAAGAACCTCCCCCCCCCAAGGTCTGTCTATGCATAATCAGTTTGAAAAATGGAATGGCTGAGTGGGGAGTCATAGAGCCATAGAATTGGAGCTGAACTCTGGCCGGGGGCGGGGATCCTTATCATTCCCACCCACCCCCACAGGAAAGGTTTGACACGTGGACTGAGCCACTGTGATGTCACAGTGATGTCAGGTAACCCTTTTTGCATAGTGTTGTGCATGGAAACTGTGGCAACTGGTAGATCGCCAGCCCTTGCAAAGCGCTGTGCGTGAAGAAGAAGAGAAGAGTTTGGATTTGATATCCCGCTTTATCACTACCCAAAGATGTCTCAAAGTAGCTAACAATCTCCTATCCCTCCCTCCCCCACAACAAACAACAAACACTCTGTGAGGTGAGTGGGGCTGAGAGATTTCACAGAAGCGTGACTGGCCCAAGGTCACCCAGCAGCTGCATGTGGAGGAACGGGGAAGCAAACCCGGTTCACCAGATTACGAGTCTTCCACTCTTAACCACTACACCACACTGGCTCTCTATTCCACACCACACTGGCTCTCTATATCACACTGGCATGGGGTTTTCATGGTTCTGTTGACCAGCTGGTGATGTGGCATGGCCAAAACAGCACCACAGGCCAAAATAATGAGGGTTGGCAGGTCTAAGTAGACCTGAGGCCCAGAGATTGCCTATGCTGGGTTGAATGGAACCAAATAATGCTGCTAATTTGAAACCTCTCAATTAAAAAAAAATTTATCTCAAGTATCTTCTACTGGGGTACTAATGAGTATTGTTATTCTTTCAGATACTGATGAATACAGGCCACCAGTTTGGAAATCTTATCGTAAGTAGTTGATTCTGTTACTTTTGTCCCTACCCCTGGTACTGTTAATATTTTTTAAATGGTGAAAATTGTAAGCCTTGAAATTTATAAACATGGTGTACTCAGAATCCCTCTGCTCTGCAGCATCTGAAACCGAGGGGCTTGAAATAGATGATCCTCAGGGTCCCTTCCAACTCTACAATTCTATGAATGAAACTCTATGAATGAAAGTATATTGTTAGGATACTGGTTCTGAACCTTACTGTACCAAGAAGATCAATGGATGTTACAGATTTTGTTGGTCTATTTCTTTCTCTTAAAACCAGTTGAACCAGGGGATATTTTTTCTTTTTTAAAATTTGGTATACTCCAAATTTAGCTGCTATCTATGACATTTTGGAAATGAGAGGATTTCATGATATTGCACTTTGCATCTGCTCTCTTGCTGAGGATGAGAAAAGCCCTTGAGAAAAATCCCCAAATCTGCTTCTGACCAGGTGTCTGATTTAGAAGTTAGGGGAAACTTCATTAAACTGTTTGCTCTCCGTTTTAAATCTACACATAAATTTGTGTCTGCATCAGAAAGTAAGCGGAGGAAGACAAAAACCACCACAAACCTAGACCCTGAAAAGATGCTGGATTGGACAATCACCTTTCACAATCCCAGGCTTACGATAGGAAAGTTGGCTTTATTTGTTGCTAGAATTCTGTGTGCCTAGTGTTTGTTTGTGTATTCCTTTAAGACCCAAAGTTGAAACAAGAGATAGCACCATATTACCGTATATATTCGAATCTAATGCACACTTTTTGCGGCCAAATTGTGAAAATTAAGATGTGAATTAGACTTGATGGCATGTTTACATTTGCCAGCGAATACCTTTTTTTGGTTTCAAGGTTCTGAAAATTGAGGTGCGCATTAGATTCGATGGTGCATTAGACTCGAGTAAATATTGTAGTTCTCAGTATCTCTCATTCTCTCTCTCTCTCTCTCTCTCTCACACACACACACACACACACACACACACATATATATATGGAGAGAGAGAGAATTAGGAGGTTCTTGTGGTGATATAATATCTGTAATGTGTTTTTACTCTAGGGCTTCTGTCCCTGCTACTGAGTAGCTGGACCAACAGGACTTATCTGTCATTATCAGCGTTTCATGTTCAGTGTCCCACCATGATTTAAATCTGTTCTGTATTGAAATTAATGTCAACCTTCATTTCATTTCATTTGTGCCCAGGCTTTGACTTCAGAGCCTCGAAGGAACCGTAGTACCTTTAAGAGTCCCCTGCCCCACAGCTGCTGCCGCATAATCACTATTGTCAGAACCTTTGTCTGCTCCAGAGCCTTTTAAGTGTCCCACAGTGCGGCTTTCGAGTCATAACTTATTACATCAGTCACTTGTCATATGCCAAGCCAGTCACTTAATATAAAACCATTAACACACAAAGTGACTCGAAGCAGGCTTTTTGTCTTCAAGCTGATGATTAAAGGATAAAATTGGCACTCATTGTGTCGCTTATATTAAACATCGTTAATCACAACAACCATACATCCAGCAACTTGTCACCATGAAATGCATGTGTGTTGTCTCCCGTTGCAAATAACAATAATAAATCGCTGCAAAATAACCTTTTGCAAGGAAAGTGAAGCTTTTGTCCTTTTTTCTTTATGGTTCAACCAAAATATGCAATTCTGTTGAATGTTTCCAATGTGCTCAGTTACCTTTTATTGAGAATCCAGAGAGAGTTGTTGGGTGCTAACCTATAGTGTCCAGGACAGGATATCTGAAACAGCTTTCAGCATAACAGCCATGGTTTTAACTTCTGCCTCTCTCCTCCTCAATCATGTTGTTGTCTGGATCAACTCTAATATCATTGCAACCAGTCTTGGAGAATGAGGTGGGAGGCGATAACAGGTGGCTGGAGTGGGAGGAGGAAATCGGCAAAGGTTGCCTCGCCCCTCCCTTTGCCAGCAGAATCCCTCCCTTGGATCAAAAGTCTTCCATGGATGAAAATCTGCCTCCAGCTTACTACGTTGCTGTTTAGCTACTGCTGACATGTAGTTGGTATATTGTATACTTTTAGTTTCCCATGTATTGAATGCCGCTTCGAACATAGTCGATGTGGCATACAAAGGAACCGACTGACCGTTGGCGTAGACAGATCCCTGAATGTCAAAAATGGCTATTTCATTAATACCAACAAACAGAAATGCTAAAGTGTTTACCTCCTTGCAGTTTTAAGCATAAAAATGAAATCCATTTTTCCTCTGCCTTTCCCTAGTGTATCAGTTGCAACAAGAAGCTCCCCACCCTAGAAGGATTACCTGCACATCTGAGGTGGGTTTACTGTGAAAGCTAAATGTAATTGAAGCCTTTTTAAAATACTGAATATTGTTGCTTAGTTTAGTTCTGGCAAACCTCCACGACAGGCACAGCCCACCACTGCCTTCCCTGGACCTCCTTGTATATATATTCCCTGTGGCCACTGTTTTAATTTCCCACAATGTTCCTAACCCTTTTTATTATTATTATTTATAAGCCAATTACCCTTAGTCCCTCTTTCCCAGTCTCACCACTACATGATGGAAGCTTTAGCTGGTTTCCTTTGAGCCAGGCTTGTAGGCAGTTCTCTGCCTGAACATGGCTAGGAAATCATGCTGTTAATATTCCAATTACTATATAAAAGCACAGGGCCCTTATTGCAGCCCTCTTAGAGACCATACTAGGTGTGATTCTCAATACATCATTAGCAACCATGTCTCTGTTCTCTGAAAGATTTAATACCAAGAAAAGAGCAGGAAGTCATTTTTCAACTGGGACCACAGCATGCAGGGAAGGGAAGGTTAAATCTTTCTTCCTCTGCCATGACACCCATGAGAATCACCTCCGCTCAGCTGGTACTATTCCTGTTTTGTTTAGTCCTCATTTGCACTTAGGGTGAGGGCAGTCCTATGTTGTTGTTGTTGTTTGGTCATTTAGTCCTGTCCGACTCTTCGTGACCCCATGGACCAGAGCACGCAAGGCACTCCTGTCTTCCACTGCCTCCTGCAGTTTGGTCAAACTCATGCTGGTAGCTTCAAGAACACCGTCCAACCATCTCATCCTTTGTCCTCCCCTTCTCCTTGTACCCTCAATCTTTCCCAACATCAGGGTCTTTTCCAGGGAGTCATCTCTTCTCATGAGGTGGCCAAATTATTGGATCTGTCCTTCCAGTGAGCACTCAGGGCTGATTTCCTTCAGAATAGATAGGTCTGATTTCTTGCAGTCCATGGGACTCTCCAGGGTCTCCTCCGGCACCATAATTGAAAAGCATAGATTCTTCGGCAACCAGTCTTCTTTATGGTCCAGCTCTCACTTCCATACATCACTACTGGGAAAACCATAGCTTTAACTATACGGACCTTTGTTGGCAAGGTGATGTCTCTG